CTCTTGCACTAGTAATAATGATAGAATTACTCCAAATTCTTGCCCAGAATTGGTTTTGTCTGAGTTTAATTTTTGCCCTTCCGGGAGTTGTGTGGTGCTATCACATTATGGCTTAATTTGCATTTCCCCTCTGACTAAAACTGTTGGGCAAGTTTCATAACTGTATGGGCCATGTAAATACCCCCACGAGGATGAGGGACTGGACTGATTGCTGAAGACTGAGTCGGACTCTAATGACGTGCCAGCATCTTTGAACTGTTATGATACTTTTTCCTACTAATGGATCTGTCGTCAAAGACCTGTGGTATAACAGAAAAACTACAGTAAAACCTCAGTTCTTGAACTTACTTCATTCCAGAATTCTTTTCAAGAAGTCATTTGTTTGAAATCCCAATCATGCAGGTGACTGACCATACAAGTATCAGCATGAATGGGTTGTCAGGTGAAGAATCAAAATTTTGTTCGACAACTGAGACATATTTTCCATAAACAATTTGGTCGGGAATTGAATTGTTTGAGGTGGGAGACATTCAAGAACGGAGGTCTGACTGTGTTTGGTCTCCATCCCTGGCTCCAGCACAGAGCTCCTAAAAGCCCTGGAATCTCCTGAGTGACAAGGGTGCCAATGCGGTGGCACTTGGCGGAGGGTCCTGGACAGTTTCCAAGGGGGGCCGCTCACCAGAGAGAGCAGCTTGGTCAGGGGGTTGGAACTTGCAGCCTCACTGCCCAGCCTCTGGGGGAGGGGCTGGAGTTCAAGTTCAATCAATAATCACCAATGATTTAATCAATTCTGTCTACACAGTGAAAATTCCATAAAGACCCCTAATAATGGGGTTCACAGAGCTTCTGAATTAGTGAACCCATCCGCATGCTGGGGGCAGGGGTGACCCCTTCCAACTCCACGGTGACAGAGGCTCCAGCTCTCCGGGCCCTTCCCCACCTCGCCCCTTGTCCCTCTTCATGTGGCTCCTCACTCGTATCATTTACAGTAAAATGTGTAGTAAGCACAGCATTTTCCTGAGTTCTGAGTTGATGTAATGACCTTGGTGGGGACCCCTAACTTTTGTAGCCAAGTCGGACAGAAGCGCAGGTACCATGGGGGCCTGACCGTGAGACCTGCTCTGAGGGAGGGCAGTCCTGGGGGATGGAGCCCTGACCCCGGGGGGGGGGGGGGGCGGGAGGGGGGCGGGGGGGGGCGAGGGGAGGGGTCTGAGGCCAAGTCCCAGCACTTCCTGTTGGAATTGAGTTGAACTGTAGGAAACACAGCAGGAGTCCGAGAATCAGATGCTGGGTGAATGGAGGAAAAAATCCCTCACCATCCAATGGAGAAATTCAGAGTAAGAGCAAGCAAGAGGCCCTCTCCTTGGGATGCTATTTATTGGTCGCATGTTCTTCCTGCCAAACCTGAGTGCCTGCAAAGGAACAACATTCCAGTCTCAGGTCTTTGCTCCAGGGATTGAAATTTGTCTTTCTTCTCCAGCCCTCCCCCGGCACCTGGACTCTATTCCTACCTGGGAAGGCACCGCACATGAAGAGTCCTGGTGGGCGCGCTCTCCTCCCTGGACCAGTACGATGCCTCTCCCGCCCCCTCTTCTCCCCCACAGGCTGGCGTCTCCTAAATGCTAAGGGACCCCAGGAGACTTGCAACCAGGGGAGCAATGGGCAGCAGCAGCTCGTCCTGGGCTTAGCCCCAGACTGTTCCCAAGGCCCCTCCCTCTGGCTCTCCTGTGAGCTGACAGCAGCCCCGCCTGGTTTCCTGCTGCTTCAGTCTCAGGCCCTTCCTCGCTTCTCTGTCCGCAGCGTTAATAAGCGCACTCTCAAAAAGGGAAAAGAGCCTCGGTGGGAGGCAGAGACCAACATCCCTCCGTAAAAGAGGGAGCCCCCCTTCCCCCAACATTCATGCATCTGGACACAGCACGAGGCTCCACTGGTCATGGGACCACATGCCAGACTCTGCCTCAGGACATGGGGATGCTGGGCTGTGCACAGTGCACTTGGCAAGGGCGGTGGGAGGGGCAGCAACAGCTTCCGGGTGTGGGGGCAGCAGAGACAGCTGTCCTCGCCCGGTGCCCAGGGTCCCACCTCAGGGGTGCCCGTGGGTGAGCGGTGACCCCTGGGCCCGGCAGCAGGGCCCGTGGCCCGTGTGGCACCCGGCCCAGGCCGGACTGTGATGGCTCCTGGCTGCGTGGCCTCTAGTGTGTTTCTCGGCTTCCCCCCAAATAGCATGAGAACCCAATATACTGTTTTGTCTAAATTAGGAAAAATTGGGTTTCCATTGTTTGCTCCAAGAAATATGCCTGGGGGGCAGTCTCAGGGAGCAGGCTTTCAGGGATTCTATTACGCTGCCCGGGGCCACCTCCGAACCTTCCCCCTGACTCCACCCCGTGGTAGAGAGAACGACAGGTAACCCCCAAACGACAGGTAACTCCCAACATCACGTCTCATAATTGACAATTACATCCTATCTTTTCTTTCTGAGGAAAAAAACCCACCTTTAAATGTGGATGAAGACCCCTCCCCTCCCTGTCTCTGTCACTGACCTCAGGGGCCCCCGTGTGGCTCAGCTCCAGGGCTGCTGGTGGGGCTTCTTCCAGGACCCCCGGCCTCCCCCGGACCCCCTGTCTCAGGGAGTTAGGCACCAGGCCAGCATCACTTGTGGGGACAAGGACAGGCAAGGCTTACGCATGGTCCTATGGGGTCCTGGTCTGGGCTCTGGCCACTGCATGAGTGACCTGAAGTCCAGCAGCACCCGCACCGGCCTGGCTATAAATCCAGAATCTCACACTCGGCTCCACTTCCTGAATCTCAACTAAGTGCGCAGGTGGTTCCTGGGCGCGGGACAGCTTGGGGCTCCGTGGTCTACACGCCTTCTAGACATGGGGACAGACGGTGCAGTCGCTCTGGTGTGTGGTCCCTTCAGAAGGCTCAGCACCGGGGACCTGATTCCAGCTGCCCCCCCTCCCCCGCCATCTCCCACAGCTGTCACTCCCTTGGTCCTCGGTCAGGCTCAAGGCTTTAAGTACCATTCCACCGTGTCGCCTCCCACGTCTATTTGCCCAGTGGACTCGGCTGTCCAACTGCCAATCAGACGACTCCCTCATACCCCTGACACACGTCTCAGCGCCAACATCTCTGAAGATGAATGTCTGTGATGTCCCCTCAAATACGCTGCTTCCAGAGTCTTCCCCACCTCTGCTGACGGCAGCTCCGTCTCTCTGCTTCTGTCCTCTGAGGTCTTTGGTGACCTTGACTCCCCTCCCTCATACCCCAGGTTAAGCATGAGGGGTGCTGTCAAGTCCCCTCACAAGGCTTCCCGAATGCCCCCTCGCCCGCTATTCTCGCCTTCACCCCAGGAGCCTCTCCAGCCTGGAGCCCTGCACAGACTCCCCCACGTCCACGCTGCTTCCCCCCTCGCCCCCAACCCTGCTCTCAGCACAGCAGCCACTGTGATCCCGTAATGGGGACTCAGACCGTGTCCCTCTGCTGCCCTAAACTGCCTTCTGACACCCCCTCACTCAGAGCACCATCTGTGCCCTTCCAACGACCTCCAGGCCCTCGAGGTCTGGCCTTGCCTCCGGCTCATCCCCATTCCTCCCTGCTCCGTCCCCACCCTGGCCTCCTCGCTCTCCCCAGACATCGGACACACTCCTGCCCCATGGCTTTCACCTTGGGGTCCCCAGCCTGGGCAGAACTTCCTTCAGACACCCCTGTGGACAATGCCTCCTCCTTCAAATTTTCCCTCAAGGTCACCTTCCCTGGGAGGCCCACACTGACCACCCAAATCAAACAGCCACCTTCCCTGTCCCCACAGCCCACCCTGGGCATTGCCTTCCCCTCTGTCTTCCCAGACCGCTCACCTTCTAACACAGACCCCTTCCTGTTGGCTGTGCTCACACCCACCGTCTCTCCCACACAACGTGGGCTCCACAAGTCCGGCAGTGACCCTCATTTTACTGCAGTGATGTTCCCCACACGCAAAAACAGTGCCACAATCTGTCACAACCACTATTGGTTCATGAATGGTCAGCGTAGGGCACCTCCCTATGCTGGACGGTGTCTTTGTTAACGTGGCCTCAGCCCCGGCTGTCCTGTGGCAGCTACGGCACAACGTGCTCTTGTGCTGACATCGATGCCCCCGCACTTTTCCCACAGGGTGGCTCCCCCTGAATCTAGGGCAGCCTCCGCTCTGTGCACCCCGGGGCGCGCTGCAGCCAGCGCTACAGTGAAGGGCAGGGACAGAGCGCGGGAGCAGAGCACAGTCGCAACAGGCACTTATCTGGGATGGGAAATTATGGGATCCCAGCTCTGCTCATTCCAGAACCCGGCTCCTTTGACACTTTAGAAGATGAAAACATCCAGCCCTAGTGGAGGCATGAGTCTGACAAGTCATCTCTCCACACCACAGACTCCTGAGTGCAGGGACCCCTGGGCCTTGTGGGGATAAGGACAGGCCAAACACCCACCCTGGTGACAGCGAGGGGACACCCAGAGGACAATGACACCGGGACTCCTAACGGGAACCAAACCAGTCATGTTGCTCTACAGAAGCGAACAACCAATAAAGGCCCAGGGCATGCGGGCTGAGGGTCAGACCGGCCCGAGCCTAGGCTGACCCCGCCACACAGAGCCCTCGCTGCCTGTGGCCCTAGACGTGCTCTTTTTAGGACAGTGGACAAGGCCTGGGCGATGCTGATTCCCTGTGATCACAGGTCCTGGGGGGACAAGGTTCTACTAAAGGGACAAGGACAAAGCAGCAGAGAGGTGATCCAGCCACAGAGTGACCCTGTCACAGCCCACGATGCCCTGAGCACGGACGGGGCACAGGCCCTGAGCACGCTCGGTCCTCACAGCCTCTCCTGCCCCTGCGACAGACTCAGCGCAGCAAACACGCCAGTTCTGGAAACTTCTTGATGCTTCCATTTATTTTCTCTGAAACTTTAGGATCTTCAACTTTCTATATTGACACATTAACCACTCATGGCAAATTTTGAAAATATAAATTCATATTCAGGATCTTATTTCATTAAAACAGTAAGAAGCTGCAGCTCAGGGCACTTGGAAGTACAGACAGGGAGGGGGAGGACCTGCCCCACCTGGGCTGCAACCGGAAAGTGTGGGGAGGGGCTTGTTGGGGGGTGGGCCAGCCTCCCACCTCCCCACCTTGTGCTGATATGAACACAGTCCTATGCCAGTTGCAGAAAGAGTAGTCGGACCTTCCTGATGTCACAAACAGGGGTCGGCAAGTGTGTGTTTGTGAAGAACCTTCCATCGCTTAATCCCTGACAGGGCAGCCATCTCACGCTGCAGAAGAAAATAATCATGAACAAGTTCAGGTCAGTCACTGCGGGTGGTGACATTGTCCAACAGCCCAGCGTGTGCTCAGAATGTCCCCGAGGATCCCCATCCTGCAGTCCCATCCCCTCAGCCCCTCCCCAGTCAGGGCCCCACCTTTACAAGCCGTGAGAGACACATCAGAGTCCTGGGCACTGTCACCGCCTGGAGCAGCACAAAACAGGGCTCCCCCTGGGCTCCCATTGGCACCATCACCAGGTCTCAGGGGTCCCCCCTCCGTACTCACTGGCCGCCTGCGCGTAGCTGCCTCCCTTTCCACCTGCAGGAAGAAAACGTCCTGTGAGACTCCAGGGAGGAGGCAGGGCCACGAGGTCCGGAAGGAAGCCCTAGTCCTGGCCCCAGAGAAGTTTCCAGAACTGTGGCTACAGACCCAGGGCAGGATGGGGAACCCTGAGGAAAGTACAGGTGTGGGGACTGGGCCAATGGCCCTCCTGCAGGTCTGTCCCCAGCAGGGACTTGGATCCGTGACTGTCGGGAATCAGGTCCCATCAGCAGCCTCACTAAGGTGATAAATCTGTCCCTTATACTCTCTCGTGCCTCCTTAGGGAGCAAGTGTTAGCAAATACAGCCCCAGACTGGCAGGCACATGAGTGAATATGACACTTCCCTTTAGTGAAGGGGGACACACATCCACCGGGGCTTGAAACCCCCAGGGGGACCAGAAACCCAGACCCCCCCCCGACCTGAGCGCCTCCTCCCCCACATCACGGCTCCAGCCGCCACAGCTCCAAGCAGGACCAGGCCAACGACGACTCCCACGATGATGACGGTGGTCTGAGGGGGCGGCTCTGGAAAGGGACAGGACGGTGAGGGCCCTGCCGCACCCCAGGCCCCAGCCCCGACCCTGCTGGACTCCCCCAGCGGCCCCGCACCCCCAGGAAGAGGCTCCGCGCCCGCGCCCCGCGCACCCCATCTCAGGGTCAGCGGCTCGGGCAGCCCCTCGTGCTGCACGCGGCACGTGTATCTCTGCTCCTCCCCGGGCGGCACCGCCACGGCCGCCCACTTCTGGAAGGTCCCGTCCCCCGCCGGCCGCGTCTCCACAAACTCCATGTCCTGCGTCTGGTCCTCCCCGTCGCGCTGCCAGGTCAGGCTGATGTCCGCGGGGTAGAAGCCCCGGGCCCAGCACCGCAGGGCGGCCTCGCGCTCAGAGACGCGGTGGCGGGTCACGCGTGTCTCTGGAGGGTCTGCGCGGGAGGGTCAGAAGGTTCCGGAACGTTGCGGCCCCGGCGACACCGCCGCCGCACCGGTGCCCCCCGCCCCCCGGGGCGGGGCGGGACGACGGCGGCGGGGGACGCCCGCGGGGACAAGGGGCCCCTGGGAGCCACTCCCGGTCTGAGAAAGTTCTCGAGGCAGCGCGGCCCGGCCCAGGGCAGGAGGCGGGTCTCTGAGAGGAGAAAAGGCACCTCGGGCCGGACCTGGGGGGCGGCCGCGTGACTCGGGAAAGCGGGGTCCGGCGGAGACTCACGGGTGCGGGGCGGGGACAAGGCCCGCGAAGGTCCCCGGATCCCAGGGCCACCGCCAGGGTCCCAGGAGCCGCCGACCGGTCCTTTCAGGGCGGGTCTCCCCTCCCTCACGGCCCCGAGAGAAGGCGGGGGTCGCTCCCCGGGGCCGCGGCCGGAAACCCAGGCGGACTCAGCCCCCCGACCCGGGCCCCGCCCTCGGACCCGACCCCGCGTTCCGCCGCCTGCGGGAGCCCCGGCCCCGGTACCTGCGCGCAGCAGGGTCTCCTTCCCCTTCTCCAGGTACCAGCCCAGCGACTCCACGCACGTCCCCTCCAGGTAGGCCCTGTGGCGCTCCGCCGCCCCCGCCGCCTCCCACTTCCGCTGGGTGATCTGAGCCGCCGCGTCGGCCGCGGTCCAGGAGCGCAGGTCCCCGTTGAGGCTGATGTAGTCGGCGCCGTCGTAGGCGAACTGGAAATATCCGCGGAGGAGGCGCCCGTCCGGGCCCCGGTCGCAGCCGGACACCCGCTGGAGGGTGTGAGACCCTGACCCCGCCCCGAGGTCAGCGCCACCGCCGCCCCGCCCGGACCGCGGGCGTCCGGCCCAAACCGAAAGCGACACGCGGTCCGGGGCCCGCGGCTCCTCCTGGGGGGTGTTTTCGGGGGGTCGGGGAGCTCGGGGCCTGGGGGTGAAGCGCGGACGCGGACGCCCGGGGCGACCGCCGTCCGGGGCGTGGGGGTCGGGACCGCCCGCCGCGCGCTCACCGTCCTCGCTCTGGTTGTAGTAGCGCAGGGCCGTCTGCAGGTTCACTCGGAAAGTCTGTGCGGCGGCCTTCATGTTCCGCGTCTCCCGGTCCCAGTACTGCGGGTCCTCCTGCTCCATCCACGGCCCCTCCATCCCTCGGGTCCGCGGCGTCGCTGTCGAACCGCACGAACTGCGTGTCGTCCACGTAGCCGACGGCGAGGAAGCGGGGCTCCCCGCGGCCGGGCCGGGACACGACGGTGTAGAAATGCCGCAGGGAGTGGGGACCTGGGGGCGGAGCGGGGCTGAGACCGCGACCCAAGTCCCCGCGCGGGTCCCGGGGCCGCGGTCCAGGAGACGGAGGGGGCCGGGCGGCGGGTCGCGCCCCCGGGTCCCGCGTCCCCACCGGTCCCCCGCCCGGCCGAGGCCGTTCCCTCCCGGCCCGGCTCACCCGCCCGGGCCCCGCTCAGCGCCAGGGCCCCCGAGAGCAGCGGCAGGAGGCTGGGCGACCTCAGGACGCGCATCCTCGGGGTTCGGGGCGAATCGAGTGCGGGCGGGCCCGCGGGGACCTTATAGCCGGGACCGGCGGCGACGCTGATTGGCTTCTCCGGACGCCGGACGCCAGTGAGAGTGACAACCGGGGACGCGTCGCGAGTACCCAGGAATGAGGCCCCGGCGCAGGTTGTGAGAGGCAGAAGTGAAACCGGGGGCCGGGGATCCCCAACGCGGGGCCTCCCCGCCCCGACTCCACCCGCGGCCGGAGACCCCGAGAGCCGGGCCAGGGGCCCCGGGACTGCGCGCCGACCCCGCCTCCGGCCCTGAGGCGCCTCGTCGCGCTGTGTCCCCGAGTCCCGGCCCAGGGACTGAGGAGACCGGGGAGAGGCGCCCCGGCCGGGCCCTGCCCAGGGCTCTTCCCTTTATTCCCGGAGGAACTGCCTGGAAACGCGGGACGGAGATTCTGAGTCCGGTGTCGTCGTCTGCGGCCGGCAGCGGGGATCGCGGCCTCGGACCCTCGGCCCGTGGGGACGCTAATCTGAGCAGCAGGGACTCGGGCCCCTGGGCACGGAGACGCGTCCGAGCCGCACTGCAGCCAGACCCGCAAAGCCCCTAAGTCTGCTTCCCACGCCGTGCGTGTGTGACAGGGGAGACGCGTTACACCGCAAAGTGGCCTTCACGCCGAAGCCCGCAGTTTGTCCTTGCGAGTCCACGTCCTTCGTACAAAGGAGCCCGGGAAGCAGTTCGTTGCCGTGCATTTGACAGGAACGGGTGCGGCCTGCGGGTGGCAGGTTCTCTGCGCGCTCATCCACACGGTGGTCAGAAGGAGGGGGCTGGAGGCGTCCTAGACCGGGGCAGAGTGAGGAGCGCTCAGAGCGGGCGTCAGGAGCCTGGAGCCTGTCAGCCCTCCGAGGAGCAGGGGTCCTGCCTCAGTTTCCCTGCTGTTCTCCGTCACTGACAGGAAGACGCCTGTGAGAGGCCAGGTCCCAGACCAAACGGGGCAGCACATTTGGGAGCCCAGCCCCGGGGACACCGGTCAGTTACCCTCCCTCAGGCGGAGGGTCTGGGTGGCCGTCTCATGTCACGTGATCCAATGGAGGAAGAAAAATGACAAGAGAGAAAAAAGGGAAGAACTGCTGGCCCAGCAACACCTTAAATGTGAGACGAGAGGGTGAGGCCGTGAGCACCAGCAGGGGACGGGCTCCGGCTGGGAGCGGGGGTCCTACCTGCAGCCTCTCTGGGAACAGAGGAGGCGCCAGCCCCTGAGCCCCACGGTCAGAGCGTGAGCTCGCTCTTAACCCGGAGAGAGAGACTGTGCTCACACCAGGTGTCACCGTGACACCTGCTGTTGGAGGTGCAACCTCTGGGGCATCGGGTGTGACCCTGGTGCCAGGGCCCCTCCGCTGTCCTGCTGAGGGGACAGAAGGCCCGTGGTCCTCCTCCCAGAAGCCCCGATGTGCATGTCCACACTGCGGAACATGTGGGCACTGAGAAGTGTTCCCAAATAAGAGATGATTTTATTTCAAAAACTGAGTTTAAAAACCAGAAATAGGGAGTAGAGGAGAATGGCCTACTTTTCCGTCTTCCCTGGTGTTGCCGTCGAGGGGGAGGGGAGGGGGTGGCGGGAGCGGAGAGAAGTGTTCTGGGAGAAACTCCCAGAAATGCGGCTCTGCTCGCCAAGGAAGCAACGAACTGAACACCGGCGAGTGTCTCCGCGCGCCCGCAGGTCCCTGCGGCTCCGCCCTCGCGGAGGAGAACGGAACGGGCCCAGCTGAGGTGGGGGCGGGGCTGAAGGCGCAGGTTCAGGGCGAAGCCCGCAAGGGCGGGGGTGGGGGGCAGGCGAGCGCCGGGCCGGGGGCTGGTGGCCTGAGGCTGGGGGGCCGGTCCAGGCGACCTGAGAGCCAAGAGCGCCAAGGCCCTGAGTCCTGTGTCCGGAGGACGCGTGTCGTCGCCGGAGGAGGGGTGAGGGTGGAGAAGCCACATACTGATGAACAGGTAAAGGTGGCGCTGGCTTTCCAGGACAGGGTTTGGGAGGACTGGGGGGTCGTGAGTACCCAGAAGGATTAATGGGCTTCTTCCTTTAGGCACCGTGGGCCCTTACCAGCCTTCCGGGCCTTGGGATGGAAGCACAATGTCAAAGGCTGTCTTTCCCAATGATGAAAAGACAGGATTTCAAGGAGCGGAGCCAGTGGGTGGGACGCGCACCCTCCCCCCAAACCTCCGCGCCGGGCGGGGCCCTGAGCTGCTCTTCTCCACGTGAAAAACACGGGGATCATGCAGAGAAGTTTATGCTACTTTGAGATTTTTGTAAAATGAGGAAATGACAGCTATTTTCTTCAATGTAATAAAAATATTGTTTGAAGAGAAAGGTTTTTTTAAGAGAAGGATACTGAAATATGAGGGAGGAGTGTCATGATGTTGGCAAGTGATTTTTCAAGTGGTTCAGCAAAAATTATAGAAATGTATTACATAAGTAAAATACGACAAAATATTAAAATGGTTCAATCTGGGGTGATCATTAGGTTATTCATTCAAACTTTAAGGTAAAAATTTCAAGTTATTTGGAGAAAATTTTAGAAATGATGATGCATAATGACAAGGAAAATGGTCACGATATAATAAATGAAAATTAGGCTTTAAACCTCTGTATGTGTGAGAGAGAGGGAATGTGTGTTCGTGTGTGTCGGTGTTTGTGCGCCAATGTCCGTGTGTGGGGCTGTCCGTGCGGGCACAGCGTTTGCGTCGATGTGCAGCAGGGTGTGTGGGGTCTGACTGAGCCTTCACTCTCTCACTCACTCAACAGGTGTTTTAAAATCAACTTTCAGGGCAGTGGACATAACAGCTGTGAAAATCAAACCCTTGTCCTGATAGAGTTTATATTCTCAAGGAGGGACAGACAGTGAGCAATTAAATGTTTCAAAATGTGTGTTAGTGGGCCGAGTGTGAACAAAAGCAAAGCGGGTGGGGTGAGAGGGAGGCTGGAGGTGCCCAGGCAGGGACAGCTCAGGGTGGGCCTCTCAGTGAGGACGAGGACGCTGGGGGACACTGTCAGGGAGGGAGGGGCCACCTGGGCGACAGGCTCTGAGGCCCAGGCCCAGCCGAGCAGCTCTGAGGTGTGGCGGCCTGGGCACCTGTGCAGGGGGAACACGGGGAGGACCTGGATCCAGGCCATCGCGTGGCCACGGCTGTGCCAACGGCACCTGAACTGGGAAGGGCCTTGGCAACGAGAGGGACTTCATGCGCCGTACGGGGCGAGGCTCACTGCGGACGGTGTGGGGGCCCGGAGTGGGGAATGTCCTCCCTCCCCAGAGTCCAGGCGCCCGGGACCCCTGCCAGGGAGGAGCATGTTGCCAAGTTTTCATGTATCCTCCTGAGGAAAACTTATACAATGTTGTTATTGTGGCTACATCAAGGAGGAATACTGTGCAAAACCAAGAGGAGATGAACATGTTTCTTTTCAGTTTCCCAGGTGTTGTCATCAAGGGGCTGGAGAGAGGGGTCGTAGTGAGGAGGTAGAAGCCTCAGAGATGGCCGACCCTCCGGAGCGCTCCCCCCGCCCCCCGCAGTCCCTGACCTCGACACCGTGGAGTCCAGGACTGGTGGGAAGCTACTGTGCTTCATGCCCCACGGTGCCCACCCTCCAGGTCAGCCACGTCACGGCGCGGCCCCTCCCAGGGCGCAGTCAGCCTCCCGGAGCCGCGTGGCGGTGCCTGGGTTGAACGACAGAAGACCCCGTTTCCCTTTCTGCTGCAGCACCAGGACTTCCAGGGTCTCCTCCTGCTCCCAGTACCAGGACAGGGCTTTGAACACGAGAGGGGAGCCCCATCCAGTGCCAGGTTCGGGGTGCAAAGTGCTTCCCAAAGCCCACACTGACATAGGTGTTTCCTCCCTGTTGAGTCACCATGGGCTCTCCCTCAAGGAAGGGTGAGGTCTCCTGGCCATGAGAGCTGGTTCCCAGGCCCAGGATGGAGCCCAGGAACAAAGTAGGTGCCCTTCGGCCCCCAGAATGGGGACTTGGACACCCAAGTCCCTGTCTCTTGTGACTGCTGCTCCCTCTGGAGCTAAAGGACCCTTCACTTGGGAATCAGTCCAGTGAGTCTCAGAACGTGGGATGTGGGCGGAGCCTGGGGCGTTAGTTCCGGGAAGGAAAGGATGCTCCTGAGGAAAAGTGAGGATACGCGGAAGTAAGCACATCAGAGGGGGAGAGGTTGGGGGGGGGAGGAGAGGAAGGAGTAGGTGGGGGTGGGGTGGGACAGCAACATGGGGAGAGCTGCGATGGGGTCGGGTCACCTGTTTGTGTTTGGAGAGGGCCCTCCGGCTCACAGACAGCAAAGGGCTGTGCTGCCCTCTGGGGAGGAGCCCTGGTCCCAAATTCCTGGGGATTCCAGGATCCCACTAACTGTATTAGCACCTCCCTAGCGCGTCTGCACCCGGCCTGGATCAGGAGGTGTTCACAGCCTTCCATGGTCCCTTCCTCCCCTAGGACAGGACAAGCCCTTGGGCCAGGCCGAGGGGCCCTGAGAACCAGGTGCTGAATGTGAGTGAGAGCTCACACCACTATGGGCTGTGAGGGCCTCGGCGATAGGCCCCAGGGGCAGTCCCTACACTCCCAGTTTGCTGCCTGAGGACCCTGGGATCCCCTCTGTCCTCTGTGGTCGCCCAAGCACCGCATCCTCAGACCGGACCCTCCAGGTCCTGCTCTGCTACCCCCGATCCCTGAGAGAAGGAGCTCTGCAGCCTTGGGCCTAAATCTCATTTCTACCAGGACAGCTGCCCAGGCCCCCGGGTGCACAGACTGAATGTCTGTGTCCTCAAAGTTCATATTGAAACCTCACCCCCGATGTGACGGTGTTTGGAGGGGAGGCCTTCGGGAGGTGATTCGGTCCTGAGGGTGGGGCCCCTGTGAAGGAGGCCCCGGAGAGCTCCCTGGCCGGCCCACCCGGAGGGGACTCGGTGAGGCGGCAGCCGCCTGCGATCCAGGAGGCCAGCCCTCGCAGACTCTGAGTCTGCTGGCACCTTTCTCGGGGGCTTCTCAGCCTCCAGGGCTGCGAGACATACATTAATGTT